ATAGTTTATAACTCATCTGTTTCATTCTCAACAGGTCAAATTTAATGTTTCTCTGATAGTCGTAAGCTCCTTTCTTATTAGACAGCTTTTTAGGGGCTCCTTCCAGGAATACCCCTCTTACAATAACAAGGAATTCAAAAATTACTTCCAGAAGGTCCCTAGATATTGTCCCTCCCTTAAAGGGACCCCGAGATTCAAGGGACTGTACTTCTCAGCAATGTAACACCCCCCCCCCCACCCTGTGTGCCTCAATGGAGCTCCTACTCCCTCTCCTAACCTGGAAGGATGCGAAGTCTGGCCTGACCCAGGGCCATTAGTGAAGTTCTTCCTCGACACCTTTCGTCATCATGTGTAAATGTATCTGATATATGAAACAGAGTAACACAGGTGGAGTAGAAGGGAAACCATCAGGAGAAAAAGCTCCTTTTCCTTCTCATTCCTCAGAGGTCTCATCTGGGAAGGAGACATGTTTACCTCCTTAGCCACCTAAAAGAGCAGGTGTCAGGTTCAAGCCTCTTCCCTCAACCTTGGAATATGCTACTTCCCTCCTAATGCTGCTCTCTGTTTCCAGTTCCCGTCCTTTCTTTCCATTCTCCACCTTGTGTCAGAGTGATCTTCATAAAATGAGAAGCTGACCAAGTCTCTGTGCTCCTCACAGTGCCCTCAGGGAAATGCCCAACTCCTCACAGGAACACACCGTCATCGCCGGCCTCCATCCTACACCTCCCAGCTTCATCTTTGATCACATCCCCATATGCACGTTACTTCAACCAACCTGAGCTTCGTGTCGGTCCTCAGACTGGCCAAGCTCGCAAATGTGCTTCCACCTCTCATGTACCTCAGATATACGTTGCCCTTCCAACTCAGCTCAAACTCTGCTTGAGATATATCACCTGAGCACCTACCATGACCACCCTGCACAGTCCAGCAGCCCTCCTCCCCGCTCGCCCTGCGTGCTCCTTCTCCATTCTAGAAAAGCAGTGCTCACCCTGCGTTGTCCGTTCTGGCTGATCCCCTGCCAACTCATGTGTGGTCAGACAGTATCACACCTGTAATCCCAGTGCCTCGCTGAGTGCCTGACACATAGGAATGGCTGAGTTCCCATTAAAACTGAATAAAACAATCACTGGAGAAGCTTAAATACATACATAACATATTAAAAAAAAAAAAACAGCAACATACCCCTAACACAATGATAGGACTCAAGCTGTTGACTTGTCCAGACTCATCAGGCCACTTCCTAGACCCCACTATTATAGTTCTTTCTGAATACCATTTACCTTTACATTTCGAACTGTCTCATTGCTTTGTCATATGTTTTTACTGCCCTTCACACTTCATGGTAATTTGTAATATCTGTGCCCACAGGTTATAGCTGAAAAAGCCAGCATGAGTAATGGTCCAAACCCCAATGTCAGGAGAATAAAAAGTAAAGGAATTTGCACCCTAAAGGTCTTTTGCCACAATATGGAGAAAAAGATGACCCAAAATAATTACCAAGAATAACAGCTCCTGCCACAAAGAGACTCATTAGTCATTACAAGAATGGAAGAGAGTTTGGGTCAAGGCAATAATAACACGAAGATCATACTGGTGACTTGGTTGATACTATAAATGGCAAAGTTAGGATATTCCAAACTATTATGTTCCTAAATCTGTACTATACCTGGTCAATAATTTACAAGAGGCATAGAAATCAACCAGTACTTTGTATGATTCCTACAAACCATCTTTCTTTTGGATGATAACTTTAAGATCATTTTGCTGCATGGGGAGCCCCTATGTAAAAAGTCCCATGCTAGGTTCTGGGGATTCAAAATCTACCTAGTTCTTACCATGAAGAATAAAACCTGGGAGGAGATGTCACACTCTGATCAGATCATAAATCTGATCACAACAAGCTTTGATATCCTTGGGTTGTCTCTTCTTGTAGATCAAATCCTGCCCCCATCCCCCCTCCAGTTACAGAGTGACATGCAGTAGCCCTATTTTGACAATTGAGCAGTTTCTGAAAAACAACAGCCTTCAGTATTGCTGAAAGGCCCCTTACATTCTTTGAAATTGAAAGCAAAAAAAAAAAAGAAAGAAATTCAAAGCCATTGTACAGCTAACTTGGACTTCAAAATACTAATCCACTGTCTGTTCTTTTCATTAATTTTATTATACATCAGCATATATGTGAATCTGCTAAGAAGGGATGGAGAAAAAAGTTACAGGAAAATGGCTAGAGAGAGACTTCATGTAGTTGATGCCCACCCAAGACATGGACACTTGTATTGGTCACCCACATGACATATAGCAAGTCGCAGCAAAATAAATGATTTTTTAGAGGAAAAGTAGTGTTTTTTAAAGCTACCCTGCTCTTAACCGCTTTTAACAATTTTTGCTGGTTGCAAACTCCAGAAGCCATCTGAAGCTCAATCCTCTACTGAACTATCAGCCAAAAGATGCCCAAAATGCCTTCCTGATTTGCTATTCTGAGTCAAGTGGCCTGAAAGGATAAGACCAGTGGCCCATGACGGACTTTGGATGGTGCCTCTTTGGATGGTAGAAGGAGCAGTGTCTGTGGTAGATATTCACTAACATCTAACATGCAGGCATTTTAAAGGGTATTCAGGATAAAACTGACAGATCCTCTTCTTCCCCAAGAGTACTTTTTCCTTTAGATCACAAAACAGGAAATTAAAGTGCTCAACTAAAATCCCCGATAGGAAACATAAATCTCTAGAATGTCTTAATGACATTAATATCTCCCAAATGCCTAAAAATCTTTCTCTAAAATGAGTTAAGAGAAAATGGCCTTCTCATTCATAAGGCCCAAGCACTCCAAAGTCCTGAGAAATGACCTCCCTGACCCAGAAAATAATAAATTAAGAACCCAAGTGACCTTTTTTTTTTTTTCTTTTTCTCCTTCCAAGTATTGCCTTCCTCTGTGGTGAATAAATTAAAAAGAGCCAACCTATCCATGGCAACTATATGGAGAGGTATGAACCATATCCAGAAGTGGACTGATATGCTTCTGAGGAGTCACAGTAAAGGATGCTATCAAACCTCTTTAGTCCCCCCAAAAATGGAATCATGGTCCCATCCCTCAAAGGTCTTCACATTTGTTATTTTGGATTCACTGATCTGGGTTTCCCGCCACTGTTTCTGAAGAACACAGGGTTCAGCCCCCTCCCCAAAACGGATGCTGTCCAAGAGGTGTGACAGCTTGAAGGCCCTTAAAGAAAAGATACCAAGGGTGACACAGGGCATCTTTCAGTCCAAAGTGGTAATAGGAGCAAGAACCTTCTCTACCTTGCAGGTCAGCTTTGGTCAACGCAACTTTGTTAGCAAAAGAACAGAAAAGGCGAAAACAATAACCAGAGGTTAGTAAGAGGTAGAGTCAACCAGGGTAACATTATAGAAATGAAAATAACAATCGGCATAACCAACATCACTCAAACAGACAGTTAAAATGCTCTACGGGTTCTCCAGAGACAGCACAGATGGGGGATGCAGGGACCCAGGTGGAGCAGGTCTCGTCAGAGGCACGACAGCAGAGCGGGGGCAGGAAAACACTGGACTTGACAAAGCACAAGCAGGGGTAACAAGAGCCTTCCCCCATCCACACAGCCAACCCCAAGGCATATGGTCCAGGAAAATGATTCTCCACGAGTCAGGATAAGCATCAAGAAATAAGGGTAGCATGTGGCCAGACTGAAAGACACGTGTGCACAACCAGACCAAGCCCACAAAAATATAATTCTGCACATCTAGGAGTTAAAGATAGAAGAGTCGCTTGGGAGCACTCCTTGTAATCTCCTGAAAACGCCACCAGGGAATGTGGCGCTCGAACTGGGCCCGTGCATCAAGGTGATTTGGGAACTCCAAAGAGCTCAGTTTGTTTGGTAAGAATACAGCCAATCCAAATGGCTGCAAGCAAAAAGGCACCAAACCGATGTCTTTTTATTTATTCATGCCAGTCTCGAAATGAAGCACGTGTGTTTCTCTCAGATGTTTACAATCTGCAATTGTGGAATCACATTTCCAGCCAACCCATGCCTTGGTCTCTGCAGCAAAGCTGGCCTCAAGATAGAAAGAGATATCTACCAGCTGAGAATAGAACCAGACATCATTTCAAAATTCCTAGCCCAAACTGAGAGGCTGTAAGTCACAGCTAAATGTGGGCTAGGTTGTCCAGAAATTGTGCTTAATTTCTGAAGTATTATACTCTGCATAAAAATTAAAACATGGTTTGAGATTCTTTTCCTTTCTTAGTATAAAACAATTGGGAGGCAGAGTCGTAAATTAATTCATTTTTAAAATAATTTTGGACTCTTCACAGTTAGATAGGAGAGGGAAAGTAGTACATTTACTACTTAGAGATCATGAAATATCATCATCAATGACTTTGACAAGAACATAGGCTACATCCTGGCCTGTGTCCCCCAGATAGGGAGAAGAGAACACATTTACCACGTCGAAGGGACGCAGCTCTTTGTTTTTAGTAACGAATCCTCATCCCCTACCTGTACATTATTCTATATATAGAAATGATAAATCAGGAAATGTATTCTATTTCCTGGGATTTCCATCCTGCACAATATTCAACGGCCTTCTTGAGGGTTCCATACTATGTGCAGAGATTCAGAATGAGAAGGACACCTGTTTGCAGTCTCTCTAAGGTTCTGTGCTCCTCATTTCCCTCCTCGCCATCTACTTCGGCTTCATTTCCACAGTGCCCTAAAAGGCTCCTGGGATCTCTTATAAGGGCTTATTCACATGGTGTAAACTTCCAATGACAGTAATTGATGCCTTAACCCACTTTTTGGCCATTTTTCCTGGCCACTTAGGCTAATTACCCAAGTCATCTGTGTACAATAAACAAGGACCTTCTTCCCTCCTCGCTCATCCTCCATTCATCCCACCCAGCGGGGCGGTCATAATGCTCCATGGGTAATCATCACAATTATCTCCATGGCAATAGAGTGCAGGGTTATTAGGCTCATGGGACTCGCCATAGATTCGGATGTTAGAAGCATCAAGTCACAATATCCGGTGCTGAACAATCACCCATACTCAGAGGAAGGTCAGACCCCGCTATGATGCAGGTGATGAGTCATGCCAAGCTGCACACAGAGATGGAAGTAGGGATGGGACCATTTTCCCCAATTTGATGGGTAATTTCCTAGTGCTAATGCTCTCACTGCTTCTCTTCAAGTTCCTTTAAGTGGACTCCATCCCCCCCACTTTTATACTCTACCTTTTAATTCACTCTTCTGAAAGTTGGTTTAGACTTTCTTTTAATCCAATACAACAGTGCTATCTCCTTACACCCCAACTTTTAATCGTCTGCAGAACTCTGCTTCTGATACGGTAGGCCACAGACATGAATAGCTACTGAGCACTGGAAACGGTATGTAGTCTGGATTGAGGTGTGCTGTAAGTATAAAATACACACTCGGTTCTGAAGGCTTAATGTGAAAGAAGAATGTGCAATGTTTTAATAATAATTTTATATCATTGCATGCTGAAATGATAATATTTTGGATATACTGGGTTAAGTGAAATGTAAAATTAAAATTAATTTTACTTGTTACTTTATATCTTTTTTACATGTAGCTAGGAAATTTAAAATTACTTATGTGACTCACATTATATTTCTACCAAGCAACACTGCTATAGAGTTAAATGGATGATTCCTATTAACTTGTAAATCTGAAGAATGATGACATGATAAGAATATTTAACATCTGAAGAGTACTTTATGCTTTTTAATGTGTGCTTTTATGTTTAATGTTTTAACTCAATCTGATTAATTATTGAAGGATAACTGGAATTTCTGTCATTCCACAATCTTTGAAACAGAGATATTTGATTTAATTCCCAAATGTTACATTTATCTCAGCATTGCCCTTAAAGCCTGAAAGAAGTAAGAGCAAGCCAAGGAGACAAAAATTCTTGATTTGAATGACATAGTGCATTTTCAGGAGAAGAAAGCAAAGTGGCTACTTTAAGCACATGGTGATTCCCAACTTCCTGTCCTCCCATATACACAGACCTGATTTGGCCCACCGGATATAAGAAATACCCCTGTCTAAAGGCAAACCAGAGTGGGTCATGGGAACAACCAGTCTTATTACTAGTCCACGTGGGAAGCTGACCCTTAGGCAAAGGGTAATGACTTCCACACTGCACATCAGCTTGTGAAGCTGATGGGAAGCATTTATAAAAATGTGGCAAGTGAACCCAGGTGAAAGCTGGTTAAGAACAGGAGAGATATGTGAAGCTAAACACTTAGGAGATGAGTGAATGCGTCTGATGCAGTAAATCAATGAGACAGAAAAAAACACAACACGTATATCGCACACAGGGCCATGACGCTCAACCCGACAAAAGAATACATAGATCCTGCTGACTGGTCAGACATCTTTGACTTTGAAGCTAGGTGAGCATGACCTCTTTGGCTTACCCAAGGCCCCTGGGAAAGCCTGAAAACTGTTCACTGGCTGCCCTCTGCTGGTTAAACTAGATTGTTTTTGTTGTAAATAACTGGACTCAAGAAGACCTATAGAATTCACTTAATATCGATAACCAGCCATTCCTCACAACCCTGCTGCAGAAGCTCTTTCTGCCTGTGGATCCTGTCTCCCTGGGCTTTAATAAAACCACCATTTTGCACCAAAGACTTCTCAAGAATTCTTTCTTGGTCATTGGCTCCAGACTTCACCCCACCAGATGTCATCTATATTCCAAAACCACATCAAGTCTGTGAGCGCAGAATTTTTCCTAGACTCTGATGGGCAGAATGGCTCCCACTTCCATTGCAGTTGCTTCATACTGTCTTCTGGATTACAATTTCCTCCAACCTGTTCCATCTGCTCCAACTGTGCAGTTTGCCTTCCTGGGAAACACCGCACCCCCCACCCAGACCAGGCCCTGCCCACAGGCATCCTCTCCTAAAGAAAAGGTCACTTGAAACTACCCTTCTAAAGAAAGACTTCGTATTTGGGTAAATCTGCACTTTTTGCCATCTGCACAGCCCATAAACACTCATAAAGCAAATTTTAAGACCTAAAAAAAAAAAAAATTCACTTAATATCTTAAGAGGCAGTAGATCACCTACAGCAACAGGCTGAGCATGGTTTGTTGTGCTGCACTGATGGGGCATGCAATGTTATTAGATGTCTCACACGAGATCATATTTGTAAAGTATAATCTTACTGTTTATTGAGTACCTACTACGTCTGCACCAGGCATTTTACATACAGCTCTGATTTACATCGCTCACCTTCCAAGGCAAGTTTTATTGCCCCATTTTGCAGGTGAGGAGGATAGGGCTCAGAGAGGTTAAGTAACTTGCCAAATGTCACACAATGAATAAGAGTTACTACCTGGATCTAAATCCAAGTCTTTCTACCATCAACTCCCATGCTGTTCCAGACCTCATCAACATCACACTAATGAACTGCCTAAGAATGCCTGACATCTAGTAAGTACTCAATAAATGTCAGTTCCCTTCCCTCAACATGGCATTCTGACATCATTTTCCTACCTCCTGCTGAGTTTGCACTAAACAATGCAGTAGTTTTAGAAACATTTCATTAATGGTGACACCTATATGAAAGTCTCTGGTATACCTCCCGACATATAAAAATATAAATACAACCCCTTACTGCCCTTTCAGCCATGCTGGAAGCAAAGGTACAAGTCAGGAAGAGTGTGATGTCAATGCCAGGGAAGGTCCTCTCCTGGCAAGTAGTGGCACAGGGAAGACATCTGCCAACACACATTCCCAGAGTCTGTGGCCCATGTCTTGACATACTGAGCCAGGGACAGGAGGACCCCAATGATGATGCAGTGTCAGATGGCAAATGGGAAGGAGAGAGGACTGGTGAACAGTAAGGTGGCGCTGGCAGAGGCAGCAAAGAGGCTTGGTGGTTGCATCCAGGCTGTGGCTTAAAAAGGAAAAAGGCTGTACCTTCACAGCCACGCTCGATCTGTCCACTCCGATGGAGGGCATCGTTGATGAGGTCTGGCAGGCGCCCATTCAAATCCACTGATGCCAGACAGCCCTGAAAGCCATCCCGGGAAGCCACCAGCTTTGGAAGGTTACTGTACATGCCTTGGGCCAGACCCGCCATGTAGAGGTCACCTGGAAAGGAAAGTGAGTAGCAAGAGCAGATGAGTAAAGGGTAGGGAAAGCAGACTCAGCTAGAGCCAATGCACATTAGATGATTTCACAGGTAATGGTGCTAGAGCTGGGGCGGGAGGACGGAAAATGGCATAAGCAACTAATTACACAGTCTCTACGGTGTAGAAAGAAGAAACTAGCATTGCTTATGTCATTCATTTTCTCCATGCCATCTCACAAATTTTAATCACCATATTCAGTCCATGAGGTAGGTATTGTTCCCATTTTATGATGAAGTAAAGATTAACAAGATTTCCAACAAAACAACCATTTACTGAATGCTTGTTATGGGCTTGTGACCAATAATATGAGGAGGATTTTATAGACATTATCCCATCAAAACTAATAACAGCCCATAAAGGTAGTAACAATTATTATCCTCATTTTGCAAAAAAAGTATAGAGAAGCTGAACAAAGCTAAGAAATTTTATCAAAGTCACCCAGGCAGTAAGTGATTCAGCTGAGATTCCAAAACCTCTACCACCCCCTCTGTATTAGGGCACCTCCGCATTTTGACATTTATCACCTCACACTCAGCCCCCGCATGCCTGAGGTTTACAGAGAAAATGAACCATCCCTTGAGGAGTGGTTTAAATAAAACTGCATTTTGGTATCATTTAATGGTGTTAAAATAAGATATGCATGATGTCTCAAAAATGCCTGGCACTCCTAACCTGTAGTTTGCCTCTGTAAACAGCGCTTGGATTATAAGAAATGCTCTAAAGGTGCCTGAGAGGCTCAGTCGGTTAAATGTCCAACTCTTGGTTTTGGCTCAGTTCATGATCTCAGGGTCATGATCTCGGGGTCATAAGATCAAGCATGGTTTTGGAGTCCGCACTCTGCAGGGAGTCTGCTTGAAATTCTCTCCCTCTGTTCTTCCCTGCACTTGAGCACTCTCACTCTCTCTCTCTCAAATAAATAAATCTTAAAAAAAAAATTAATGCTCTAAAAAGGATAAACTTCTTTATAAGGTTTACCTTTCAAATCCAGGTTTTTGGCCCCATTGATAACTTGAGTGACCACTTTAGTGTCCACTTTCAAGCTATGGGTGTTACTGTGGTCCCGGGTGATGACGACATTGTGCCACTGGTTGTCATTCAGGGGGCGGTCACTGTTGCCTTTGATCACGTTGGGACCATTCCCAAGGTCAAACACGTAGTGTATGTACCTGTGAGCAACAACCACCTCATGAGTGGAGATTCCCTCGAGTGGTTGAATGGCAATGTACGTATAACTGACCTCGAGGGCTTCGCATCCCCTGTGCTAACCTGGCATCATGCAGGAATAATTAAGGCTTGATCTGGGGTTCTAAGAAGAGTCACAGTCTGTCCTGTCAGACTTCACTTTAATTCCACACTTAAAAGGTTCACTTTTTTACCATGATCTAAAAATCCAGAGCCACTAAGTAGAACAGGTGGTACATCCCCAAACACTAGGGGGAAGCATTTAAATTCAGTCGATTGTGGATCTGTTTTTTGGGTTTTGTTCTAGCTTTTGTTTTTGTTTTGACTATTTTCCAACACATGGTAGTAAAATATCTTGCAGAAAGAAGAGCATTTAAAACTGCATATATATGGGCTAATGGCAGTGCTGCAAATATCTATATTTCATTTCTTCCTATAGATCTGGTGGTTGCAGAGAGCACTGTCCCGGAGCATTGTATATAGGATATACACTCTATTCTCCTTTTGCAAAAATGACCTGCTTTCCTATAGGTTTAAAGGGCTATATTTCATAATAAAAAGTCTGATAGTATTGAGTTAGTGGAAGACCTTTAAATAAACTAACGAACTGCTCTTCCTTCCAGCCCTAACCATTATACAGGTTGTTTTTAATCAACGAGGATGAGAGCAGGTGGTGGGAATAGAAGGTGGGAGCAGAATGGACACTTTTTTTCATGTCCATATTTTATGTCAGTCTTGAGCTGAGATACCCGGTATAAACGATGTGATCTTTTCCACTTACCCCTTGACCAATTCAACCGCAATGAAGTCATTGCCATCACCACTGTTGAAGAGAATGAAGCCATCAGCTGAGGTGGTCTTGAACTGGAAGAAGAGGTGCATGGAGGTGTAGGCCTGGAGGGTGGCCAGGCTCAGGTAGCTGCTCTTGGTCTTGAAGGTGACGGGGTCAGCGATAATGTTCCTCAGTCCAAAACGAGCCTTCAGTTCGCAGTAATCGATGTCACCATTTTTGCACAGGTCAATGTAGAGGAGGCCATTGAACATGAGGCTCTGCAAGTGGCCAATGAAACTGGATGGGACAACGGAGATGTAACGTTTCTCTGTCATGATTCCGGTCTCGATATTATGGAATTCCAAGCGGGTATGGTCCCCCACCATTGTACCTATCAACATCACAGAGGAGATACACGCAAGTTATCACATTTTGTTACAGCACACTTACTATACCTTTTAGGTTTCCACACAAAATATTTAGTTCCAGGAAACAAAATGCCCAATATAGTAGACAGCCGATGGGACCTCAGTCAGAGGATGGATTCCTGGCCGAGGCTGAGTTATATGCCCTGTGGCCCATGCTCTCATGCAGCTGCTCAGAATGTGCCATCATGTAAAAGAAAATATGAGATCATGGATAACTCAAGTTAAAGGATAAAATGATTCATTTTCTCCATTCAGGAAACAATTGGGTACGAATGCATACTATAAGAAAAAAAGTCTCGATTGCCCCAAACCTTGTAAAGATACAACAAACAAGCATGAAGCATTCACTACCAAATACTTCTTGATGTATTAATTTACCACCCAGTACTTGTCGAAAGATTCTATTGTAGAACATGTGTTAATTTTTTTCTGACCAGCAACTGTTGCTTTTTCTGATAACACCGCTAATTTCCCTTTGGGATGCTACCCTCCATACTTTACCTTAAAACCATCTGGGCTGGATGAAGCTGATCCTAACCCAGCTCTTGAAGTAATCAGCCTACACAGACTGGACCACTCAACATTATTTTATCCCCCTAGCCATAGTACGGTCTATGGACTAACAAGGTGGTCTGCAAACTTTAGCACGCCTCTGAATCACATGGAGGACTTCTTAATACACCATTCCCTGCACCCCACCCTCAGTTTATCATTCAAAAGTCTGGGGTGTGGCCTGAGACCATGCATCTCTAATAAATCCCAAGGTGATGTTTATGTAGCTGGTCTAGGGAACACCCTTAGAACCAAGGGATCAGCAGCAACGTAAGCTGGAGTATTTAGTAGTTACTCAGTAATTAAGTCTAGTAATATTCAGCTCCAGAGTTTTTTTTAGAACACCTATGAGAGAGGCATTCTTTGTAAACAAGGCTCTTTGAAGGGGTAAGAAGAAAACTCAGAGTTGCGGGAAACCATGTGATAACCAGAGAGATTGGGCCTGCCCGAGGAGACAGCCAACCCAGAAGCCAACCACAAAATGGAGAGAAACAGTTCCTCTAGGATAGTGCCATTCGAAGGTCTGGATTCAGCAGCCAAAGCCAGGCTTCTAAAAACTAGATGGCAATAGATTGCCTTCTGTGCCTCAAGCATTTAAGATGGGGGTCTGACATTTGCAACTAAAGGATCTCCAGCTGCTACAAATGAACCAGTAGACCTTTCATTACCTGGCTTACCTAGAAGAAGTGAATGACTGGGGCAGGGGGTCATGAAGGCAGCTTGAAATAAATACAAAAGAGAATGGAAATTTTAATGACAAAGTCAAGGAAAATGGCATTAGTACGGTCAGAGTAGAAGGTGGCCCGCCCAACGTTTATATAGGCACATCATTACAATTTAACAAACCATGTCCTGATGCCCCAGTGCTGAAGGACGGACAGGAAGAATCCTTCCTCCTGCCCTCTCCTGTGGTCTCCGTACACACTGAAGAAGCTCCATTAGCAAGACACTCCTAGCCTCTCTCTACTCCGTTACACCTTTCCAGAGGAAAAGGAGTGACATAATCCGGAAGATTAAAGAAACTCTGTAGAGTTTCTGTATAGAGAAACTGTATTTCCGTAGCTCAGCCCCTAGCACTTCCTGTTTCCCCCTAGGGGAGCAAGCTGCCTTCAAGAAACCCCCAGTATAACCCACACAACCCACAGTATGGGTGTTACAGGAGCAAGCCTTGCTTCAGTGGAAATGCCCACCTAAGTCCTGAATTAGTGAGTGTTCAAGTGCACAATTCCAACTCTGAAATTCAGTAGATGTTAGCCACATTTTTCCATACCAGTGTTACCACTAACAACATGATACTTGACTTTTACCAGCCTTGCATTTGTTTTTTCTCTATTGGTGTAGAACTCAGGTCGCAGGGGAGAAAAAAAGAGAGAGAGACAGAGAGAGAGAGACAGGAAGGGATTTCTATTTTCTCAGGCCCCTGAAACTTCAGTACCTGGGATATTCAACCAGATCTCACTTTCAGATGCTCAGTATTAATGTCATCTCTTTGGGAGCATACTCAGACCTGATGCAGGGAACTGTTTATAAGCACAAAAATCAGATTTATGTTTTATGAGCTTCTATGTGGTGTTTTGACAACTAGTGACAAATCATTCACTTAATATAAGCAAAAACAAAATAATGGTGTTGGTTAAATTAAATATAAAATTGTAACAGAACAAAAATAAAAATGTAACATAAATCTGCCAACAATTGAATAACTAGGAGAACTACTATATAAAATTACTTAGTATTGAAAATTGGACTGGTCATGAAAATGGAAACTAGCATAACCTAAACCCACATGATCTAGAACAATATTCACAGTCGGTTTGCCTCTAGCTGTTCATACAGGGCTGAGGCTGGAGCTGGAGAATGATGGGGAGGGGAAATCACAGCCAGTCTCCTTGGGGACACAGGAACCAAACCGTGATGATGCTGGGAGCCATGATAATTCTTATTTTAAAAAAGAAGAAGGAGAAGGAGTATGAGGAGGAGTGGGGAAGGGGGAGGAGACCAGCAATGAGAACTGTAAGGGGGTGATCCTTGGTGAAGCCCGGGAGTCCTAAAGAAACCTGAAGAGACAATTTCAAAGTCAACAGGGAGCTCTTAGAGAAATTACAGATACACAGGCCTACAGAGATGAGGGGTTAGGAAATTCTGTTCACTAGAAAATGAATTTCATAAAGCAAGAAAATCACGTACAGTGTTGACAAGAGAGAAAAGAGATTGAAGAAGGATAAGAGAAAGGAAACTAACAATGGAATCTGAGAGCACAGCCCATGGACATGGACTGATTTAAGGTTTTAGGATGAGTCGCAGAGCCTCAGCTAGGAGTTGCAGTGGGGGTGGGGGAGGGGTGGGCAACATGGCGCCAAATTAGAAAAGGGACTGCTTCTCTAGGTACTAAAGGAACTCACTTGGCTGTGGATGGGGGGGTCCCAAAAGAGCATGCTATTGCACCTGGAGAAAATGTTAACAATTAAGTTTGAACCTTGTGCCAAACTAAGCAAATAAACATAAATAGATGATACAAAGATAGATAGATAGATAGATTGATCTGTGTATCACCTAATCAATATTAGTAACTGGGACTCTTTCCTCGTCTCCCCTGAATGCTGTCTATAAACTAAAACTCCCTTCCATTCAAGAGGCAAACATATACATACTTCACTGCAGCTGCTTTCAAATTTCGGGGGAAGAGGAGTAATTTGGGAGAAAGATGATTAAAAAAAAGAAAAGCAAGACTATTGAATGTTGTTAATGTGCCAGGCACTGTGCTAGGCACTTCAGAACCATCACCAAATGTCATTATCACAATCAGTAGGTATCATTATCTTGCTTTAGAGAGGAGGACACTTAGCTTAGAGAGGTTAAGCAATGTGATCTGAGTTCATACAGGTGCTAAGTGGTAGACCCTCTGATTGAACCCACATGTGTTCGCTTCCAAAGCCCACATTTTGGACATGACACAGCGGAGAAAAAGCTCGACTTACTCTTTACGTTATTGTGGATGGAATTTAAATGGTGCAATGTCCCCACTGAAGTTGCTGTGTTGGGTTCACATTCCGTCCCAGTGGCCAAGCACCATCACGTCACTCCATCTCAGTCACACGTAATATATCCAGCACCTTCCCTAGAACAGCCATGTTGCCTTGACTCCTATCCACACATTCACTTCATATTTCACTGATGGTCAACAGCAGTTTACACACTAGCCCTTAGAGTGATAAAGCCTGTGAAGAACATAAACCTATAGAAGATTTGTCCAAGTTCAAGCTGTAACTTCCTACCAGCCATATACTAGATGAACATATAGGCTCTGAGGCCACCCTGCCTGAGTTAGCTAGCTTTTCTGTGCCTTAGTTTCCTATCTGTGAAATAGGTAGGAAGTTTTCAGGATTACCTGTATCAATTCATAAAAACTACTTAGAACGGTGCCCAGTGCTTAAATTATTAGCTATTAATTATGCATCATTCTTTTTTATCCTTTCTCTGAAATGTGTTAATAATTTTCCGGTATTTTGATTGTCACTCTTTTACAAGAACACAATCTCTTTTTAGGTAGAAACCACTTCTCACCTCTTCTGTATGTCCTGCAGTGTTTAGCAGGGGTCCTCAGCACAGCAAGCACCCCTCATATCTGAGGAAGGAGGTTGTATTTGAGACATTTGCTTTGGAGTCAGAGTTGGTTCCTAGTCAACACTAAAAGCTTAGCAAAGAAGGAAAGCCTTAGAGGAGGCGACTTGACCTCCCTTGGCTCCCAGGCATGGGGAGGGAAGTTAAGAAAATGAAGGCTTATCAAGTCTCAGTAAAGAATGCATAGTTTGCCGACAACCCTTCAGCACCACCACTTCCATACCCTTTTCGCGACAATACCAAAATTTTTCAAAAGTGTGTGCTGTAAATTGTTATGATAATGATGATGATGATGATGATAATAATAAAAGTAGTTCTGGAGCCAAATAAACTTGGTGAACACTTCACATGTAATTATCAATGATTAGCAATGTGTATCAGCAAAGTAAAGATTCCCAGTAAGTCTGGCAATACAGAAATCTACTTCATTCTGCTTAACCTAACATTTCCAAATTCCATCTCATCGTGTTTTTTTATTAACGAGAGGAAAACATTTTCCTTGGAAAATGACTTTTTACAGCTTGTATGTGCTTTATAAGGTAAGGGACAGAAAAGAAAGTCAGCAATGAACCAGAGGAGTCAAAAGAGGGATGAATCTCTGTACTAGCAAGAAGCTCTGGGTGGAGTGGGTGGATCATGTAGCAGCAGATCCCAGTTCTGAGGAACACAACCCAAGTGAAGTATTCTTTTTTTTTTTTTTTTAAGATTTTATTTATTTATTTGACAGAGAGAGACACAGCGAGAGAGGGAACACAAGCAGGGGGAGTGGGAGAGGGAGAAGCAGGCTTCCTGCTGAGCAGGGAGCCCGATGTGGGGCTCAGTCCCAGGACCCTGAGACCATGACCTGAGCCAAAGGCAGACGCTTAACGACTGAGCCACCCAGGCGCCCCCAAGTGAAGTATTCTTTTAATTTATTCTTGATAATAGAAATCCAGCTCAATCAATGCATCATTATTTTTATTTTTTTATTTTTATTAACTTTTTTTTATTTTTTTTTATTTTTTTTATTAACTTATTTTTTATCTTTATTAACTGTCAACTGAACTTGATACCTTTCCAGGAATACACTGTATTACAATAAATGAAAACCACCTGGCTAAGGAATAGTTCTTTCCTTGCTATCGATTTCTTATGAGTGTGACCTATTCTTTGCATCATTTCTACAAACTAGCTGAAAATTTGACACTCTAGGGGACCTTAAACAGCATGAAAGGGATTACTAAATAAGCCAATAAGACACTACTTAATAACCTGAGGACTGTGTGGTATTTTAGTTTCATTGCCTGATTTTATGACTTCTGTGAGCTAAAATTAAAATTCCCAAACCCATTATCACTGTAAGAAGCAATCCAAGGTTGTAGCTCATAAGCAAAATAGCTCTTTTCTTCTCCCAGATTTCTTTATCCTTATGACTGCTCTTTTCCATCAGCAGTAAAGTAGGGGATAAGGGTTGAAAATGAAAGAGCTTCATTAATTTCAAATATCAAATTACTGAATGACTCGGGCCTTCAATGGTGTAGTCCTGCTTTTTAATTATTAGTGGTAAGAGAAAGCACCCTTTACAATTACCTTTATTCTAAAGTTTCTATAAAAGAATAATGACCAAGGGAGGCAATACACATTACTGTACCCTCAGTTCTGCAGTTCTTTATGACGACAGCTTTGAGGGCACGCAATTTCCTGGGAAAATAAAAAAGATTCGCGGTGCAGAGAGAGATCGGGGTGAGGTCGCCATCTAGTGGCTGCCATTCAAAACACGCATCACTGGGCTGCTGGGCTCAGCTCCAAGGAGCTAGCAAGGGATGTGGGAGATGTGCAGGCTCCTGTCTGCATTAACAGCACACAGGGATTTCTTGAATAATTAATTCAAGATGGCTGTGGGTTCTAAACCATACAACCATTTTTACATCTCTTTGCTCACGTTCATTAAGTAAAACTAAGTTACCCTTCAGACATGCAGAAGAGTAACCTTACCTCTCACTATGAAGGTATCTATGTACATACAACCGGAGGGTTTTGGATACTTATTATGGTTCTATTTGACTTCATTTTTGATGGGAGAGGGGTGAGTGTTGTGTCTTCACTAAAATGTACTCCTCACATCACCCTAATACATCCCCTTGTATTTTTCCCATATCGTAATACAAATCATTTTCTTATGATGGATTGTGAAGTCCAGCAAGTAGCCTGATTTGGTGACATCACACAGACATGGATTTGGAGCTTAATTACACAGCTCTTTCTAAGTGCCATGTCCTCTTATGTAAAACAAGAACACTTATCTTGCAAGGCAATGGGGAATTACAGATTTAAGGAGCTGATACATGTAAGACGGCTATCCCAGTATCTAATGCCTACTGGGCACTGGATATATGTCTCCTGCTCTTCCTCTATCTATAGACTCTTCTCATCCACAGACACACACACCCAACCACACACACACACACACACACACACACACACACACACACACACGCACACTCCTACCTACACACACATATACATGGCTCGCTATAATTCCAGACTCCAGAAGGATAGAAGTTTAGGCTCATGAATATAAAATTAAATAATAGGACCCCAAATTGCAGAACCTTTAAGCTGGAGAGGGCTCAGCAGTAATATGATTTCAGGTTTAAAAATGAGGAAATGAGGAAAAAAGGTTTATCATATCTGTCCCAATGGCAAAAAGTATTTTAGTTACAATGATTGTATTAAATCCCAGGGATCCTGACTCTAACTTGACTGTCTTATTCACAGAAGAATCTAGAGAGAGTTTACACCACTGACTTCACTGACAAAGACTAGACATGGTAAGTGACTTTTCCAACATCTGGCAGAGAATTCGAGTCAGGGCCCAGATCTCCTGACATCAACAGCGTTCTACGTAATACTCCATGCTGCCCCCAAGTTTTCTTCTCCCATATGGACAAAAGTTCTGCCTAACAGAAGTGCACTGCTCTGGAATGTTAAAGTATAGACTTATTTGGAGACAACATGGAAGGTGCCCTCTCTCTTCCACCTTAGCCCTCATTAAATTACCCATCAAATTGTGGCCAAAGAGCTACCTTCATAAGCCATTCCTGGTTTCTCCAACCCAAAATGATAATTTTCTCTTCTGACATGACAATGACAATCTTACCCACCCATGCTAGAATCTCATTACATACTTTTTGTCTTATTTTCAAATGCCTGGGTCCTATCTAATCCACTAGATTGGTTAATTATTTGAGGAAACAGATAATCTCTTGTGCTTCCTTCTTATTTTTTACATCCTTAGCACACTGCTGATATGTAACAGGCTCTCAAGAAATACCTATTGCTTATGTGAAGCTCTGAATGTTCCTTTACGTATAGATGTATTCGTTCATTCATCTGTTGCCCTTCTAGAATGTGAATTCCACCAAGCCAAGGACGGGCCTATTTGTTCACTTCCCTATTCTCAGTGCCTTCTAAAGCAGTACTCAGTACACGGTAGGTGCTCTATTTATAACAATTAAATAAATGATGAAATAAATGAATAATTATTCAGCCCCTTCTAAGTAGCCTGTAGTGATCTCAGTACTTACTTTTACCTGTAATGCTCTGAATTTCTGGTTTACCCATCTCCCTCCCCTAGAGAGTAAGTCATTTATTGAAGGAAGAAACTGGTCATTGGGAAGATGATTGATAAGTGATTTTTGAATAAATGAATAATAAAGGAGCTACAGAACTCTACATCTACTCTCCGGACACATATTCTATGCCTAAAGGGACCCATTAACATACAATGACAGTAATGGGTAAATTCTATAATACAGATCAATGAAAAGGGATTATGAAACTTCAGAGGAAGACCTTCTTAGCCTTACCTGAGCTTGTCAACGAGAACATGTCACATGAAAATAAACATGTTTCAGAAAACCTTTTGCTCGCTGAATGACCCAGAGGATGACGAGAGCAAAGAGAGACACATTTCCCTACGTAGAGCTGTACTCACCCTCAGCCACATCATCATCCACGGTTAACTTAAGGCTTTTTCCTCTCCGCACCACCCGGACGGTGTGCCATTCATTGTCATTGAGCTTCTGCCCCGCGTACAGGGTCTCAGGTCCTTTGCCTAAGGACGATGGTAAGGGCCAAAGTTAGAATCAATTCTGAAAGCAGCGATTATGGTATCAGAACTGTCAAAGCCACACTGGCGCACAGAACCCAGCAGCATTCAAGGAATCATATGCACACCCCACCACCAAAGCCCATCCCAGTTTCACTGCCCCAGCAGGATGTTCCACAATCGTCTCCAAATGCAAAAGTCTCAACTCATATGGACATTGGCAAAACAGTGAAAGAAATAAGTGCCCTCCCTTTGTCTACAGAGAGAAAGTTCTAAAATGCCAAGAGCAGTAATTATAAGAAACAGTAGTCAGCCATCATTTTGTTTCCCAAAGTCTTAGATTTCAGATGAATTTCTTGAAGATATAGGAAATTCATCATTTATTTTTAGTATCATTTGGTCACTTAGGCATAATACACCAGTCTGGCTTTTGGAGGGTATCCATCAATTGGATGAGAAAAGAGTTCTATAATATATACTCTTAACTTGATATTGCCATTAACCCACGGTCCTACCAGAATTCAGCAACCATAGAAATCACAACAGTAATCATCACAATAATAATGTTGAGGTCTAACCCCCATGATAAGTAATGCTCCTGAAGGGAATGTGAGGGGCCCCAGACTTATTGTTCATCATCCTCCAAAAAGATCTAGAGATCTAAAAAATGAAATAACGTAAAATGCCAAAATCGAACTCTTTTAGGTCAAAAGAATGTTCAGGAGAAAGTGCCACCAGATGAAGGAAGAAACCAAGTTGTCTCAAAAGATCCATGATCCAAATGCTCAAGAGGATGTTCAGGCATACCCTAAGAAAAATCAGGTTCAACGAGGAATTATAGTATTTAGGGGCAGAAGTGGCAAGATAAACACTGAGACATTAAAAGAATTTGGTTAGTAATGGGGAGAAAATGTCATGTTTTGCTCAGCACTGAAATGAGATGTAAATTTAAAAGACAAAGAAGATTGCATAGGACCAGAGAACTTAGACCAAGTTCCAAGTTCACTATGTGGATAGCTGAGCCCATGAAGAAAGACCCCGTGTGAGTCTTCCTGGATTTGTCAATAACTATGTAAAAGCCCTATCTCTGGAAACAACTTGGGGAAAAAAGATGAAATATGTAACTGGCCAACATATTCCTATGATATTATGCATCTGAAATATTTCAGAATACAATTGGATCCAACATATAAGAACACAGTAGGTACTTTAATGAGCACTTGCTGAACAACTGATGTCTACACAGGTATTTATTTCTTTGGAAACCATCAACTAAGGTCAATACACTTTTATCTAACTAATTTTGAAAGCTCTATTATATAGATTTCACTGGCCACTCCACCCCCTCTTCTGCCTCCAAGACTCCAAAACAGTATTATATACATTTAGGGAAGAAAATTTAAAAAACAGTATCACTTGGGTAAATATCTTTTAAGCTAGGTAATTTTAAACTGTACCCTTTAATTCTGAATTATTAGTATTGCTACTGAATGCTCTTTATAAAAGTAATGATGGGGCACCTGGGTGGCCCAGTCAGTTAAGCAGCCAACTCTTGATTTTTGGCTCAGGTCATAATGTCAGTGTCCTGGGTCCAGCCCTGAGCCCCATCAGGCTCTGCACTCAGCACACTCAGCAGGGACTCTGCTTCGGGATTTTTCTCTCTCCCTCTGCCCCTCCCCCAGCTCACTCTCTCTCTAAAATAAATAAATCCTTTTAAAAAAGAATAATGATAGCAGTTGAAGTTTGGGGAAATTATCTTCTTGAAAAATAAAGATTTTCAAAGTGAAAAGGTTTCTTTTAATTAAAATGTATACAACAGGTCACTTGTATTTTTTTTTCAGAATGTACCTCTATCCCAAGTACAATGCAAATTCACAAGAATCCTAAGAAATCAATGAAGAAACTTAAAGTGGACCAAATGTACCCCAAATTGGGTATGATGCCATGAGATCAATGAATCTGAAGGTAAAAAAAATTCTATGATAAACCATTTTATATTCAATTTTAGCTGTTCTTTGTGAGTATGCTTGTCTTACTATCATCTACAGCATATACATTATAACAGAATTTTTCCTACATCTCACCTCATTAGATAGCATTGTTCATTATCTCATTAAATTCCGGTCTAAGATTGATGTTAACACTCAACTTTACAACAGCAAACCGTGCAGGCATTGAGAGAAAATGGGCCACATCATGTGGGTGCTTCGAAGCAAGAACAGATGTTCTCAGAAGAAACAAATCTGCCTTTGTTTTTTTTTTCTGTGTGTTCCTATCCTCTTTATTCTACATGCAAATGCTTCAGTAAGAAAGGGGGAAGTAAGGAAAGATGTAGGAAATATTGGCTATACTGTCAGAAAGACAGGCTATTCAAACATCCAGAGGTAGCATCTGTTCTTTAGGCAGTGTTTGCACAGCACTTAATTTTTATGATCAGGGACAAAATAAGAGGGACAAATACTAACACCAACATGGTCACAGTTAGCGACATGGCCACATTGGTGTCATATTAGTCATCGGTGTAAAACAAGATTTGCAATCAGCCCAGTGTTTTTTAAAGGCTGCTGACATTTTGCAGGGACTTGGAATTTTCTTGTGTCAAATTCAAACAAAAATATTTAACTGTCCTTTTGACTCTAAAACTTCAGGATGTGATGGTCTATGACCAAACATGTGGGAAAAAGGACCTGAAAACCCTCATGCCCTTCTGCTTGGCTAGAGTTGCTGTCTCCAACCCCAATAATCCTCATGACTCTGCCAGGAGAAAAAAAAAAAAAATCCATACCCGTCTCATTAAAATGGTAGGGAAATGAATATTATCCAATATTCATTTTCAAGCAATAAATACAGAAATCCCAGTGAGCTTCCGAAAAAGTCTCAGCCTCCAAAAGTGGAGAGTCAATGGCATTTATCTTTAATCAAGCCAAAAGGTCAATGCATCCCTACCAGAGAGAAAGTGCTGTTTAAACTCAGCTGGAAATGTAGGCAAACAGAGGGCAAGAACAAATCTAATTTGTAGCCTAAGCGTAAAACAGGATTGATAAGTAATACAAGATGTAGATACAAGCTGAAAGTTAAAACATACAAACCATTTGGTTTTTAAAGAAGGAGGATTTAGTCTAGGGAAGACTTCCCTGGCAGATTCAAGCACAAAGCCAGGGAAGTAGCATCAGTAAAACAATGAATGTGAAGATAAGGATTAGACAAGGAGGAGAAACTTTTTTTTTTTTTTCCGTTGGAATTTAAAATGGAACTGATAGGAATTTAATTTTTAAAAAAAATTTTAAAAACCTCAAAGCCATTAATTTTCTTCCATTGTCCTTTTTCTTTTTTGTAGCTAGGAGAAATGTGATCTGTGATTAGGTACATACTGGATGTATGTATTAGAGGCTTGCTTCCTTTTATAGTTTAGTAAATACTGATCACACACACAAAAAGAAATCAACATTTGATTCCCTTTAGGCTGCTTAGATCATCACTGTTTGATCTAAATACAGAAAGCTAATAACTTATCTGACACCCTATAGTTGAATTTCCTAAGTAATGACCTCTGTAACCAGAGTAAAGAAGAATCACAGTTGAAGATTTCCAGGATGCAGAGGTCTGTAGAAGTGAGTATTCAATTGTATTCAAAAGAGACTTTAATGAATCTTTTGGGCAAAACCACCCAAATTCCCACTCTTGCCCTAGTCTCACTGCAAACTCATCTGGCATCATCTCTTAGTTAAGACTTGTCTCACCAAAGATGATCTAATTTTCTGATGGACATGGATAGAGAAGGAGGCATCACAGATGAAAAATACAAGATTTATTTTCTTGACCTATTCTATAGTAACCCTGTGGAAGGCCTAATTCTTTAAGAAGCCAGAACTAACAGTAAAATCAAAGTGAAAGGTTAGGAGAAAAGCATTCTTTGGGAGAGAAATCATTGCTGACTGCTTGGAGGAAGATGACGCTCAGATATTAGCAGACTGTTCCCTCTGGGGAGACAGGGAATGGGAGTATACGGGGAAAAATCTGTATTTGGGTATCTCTAAAGGCACACACCTTCACAAGGTGGACTTTGGCTCTTGATGATTTTGAACCTACTTAGTTGTTTTCTTTTTATTTTTTGTTGTTGCTTTTTGGTAGACTCTTCATAGAATATGAATTTGTTATTCCCCCCAGGAGCAACATAACCAGCACAACTATAAGACACCCCAATACGCATTAGTTTATCAATAAGTTTCTAAAACCTGCCCAAACCAACTAAACCAGACGGTTTTGCTCATACACAGGGAGTAGGAATTCCTTCCACCTGCCACAAAGTATTATCTCCAAAAGTGGGTGGATAAGACTGGAAACTTACTTTGCTTGGGGTCAGGGGACAGGGTTTAAGGGCACACTGTCTATACCATAATCACTTTGCTTTACTGGAACATCTTTCTATTTGTGCGGAGAGAGAAAGAAACAACAACTTGATTTCCCATGGAACTGTGTTTCACATGAATCAAAATTTCTACAATGCATAAAAAAATATGAAATTCACTCCCTTAGAAAGGTATAGCAAAAGGTATGTGATTGTACAACTAAACGGCATGATAAATAAATACTCGAAATGACTGTGTTAGGTTTAATGAACACCAAAAATATTTAAAAAGAGAAAACTTACCTTCATTTCCACCAGCACCCTAGGTTAGGCCAGCTGAGCTATGACAAAGCCTAGCTCAGCTAGGCTGAGAGAACAGATTAGGCAATTAAAAGCAGGGGTGAGTAGGGCAGTGGGACTATAGACTAAGGAGGGTGACAGAGAAATAGAAAAGAAGCATCTTGTTTTTTATCCAAAGCAGTTTCAGGTTCTGGTTGTTTTCTTCAGGTTGACAACCCAATGGAGAATAAGAGGTGTTTTGTTTTTATAAACTCATTTTTTTAAAGATTTATTTATTTATTTATTTATTTATTTATTTGACAGAGACACGTAGAGAGAGGGAACACAAGCAGGGGGAGTGGGAGAGGGAGAAGCAGGTTTCCCACTGAGCAGGAAGACCGATGGGGGTTCGATCCCAGGACCCTGGGATCATGACCTGAGCTGAAGGCAGATGCTTAACCGACTGAGCCACCGAGGCGCCCCTAAACTCATTTTTCAAAAGCATTCATTTTCTTTGAAAAAAAAATTTAAATCGTTTACTTATAGAGGCAATTTAGTGAAATACCTCAAATAGGTCCTTCCATTCTCACTGGAGTCCTCGAATCTCAGACAGGGCTGTCATTTCCAACAACAGAAGTGAACATAGGAAGTTTTCTGGAAGTCTTCTGTTAAGAAGTCTCCCAGCGAGGTGTGTGAGAAAGATGAACGACCCAGTTACTCAAGCTGAGTACATGTATCCTCCCGGAGACCCTGCTTCTCATTAAAACCCACTAAAAACACCATCAATAATTACTGGGTTTGAAATGGCCCATCGAGCCTGCCACATACAAAATACTCATCTATGGGCTGCCATCCCTTTTCCTTGGGCTCATCCTCCACTCTGCTAATAGAGCACTGTTGCTAACCTCTGGCAGCGTATCACAGAGCAAATGTTAACTGAGCAACAACATGGGATCAGGCACCATGCTGGGGTGGAGGATGGGAAGGAAATGAGACAGACAAGGTCCCCCTGCCTTTACAAAGCTTACAGCCTGGTTGGGAGAGGGGAAGGAGGAAGGACAATACCCAAATGGAAGACCATGAGATCATTTCAGATGGGGTTGAGTTCTATGAAGAAAATGAAACAGGGTGATATGACGAAAAGTAATTTGGGTGGAGAGTGGGAATGGAGGGTGGGCTACTTTATAGTGAATCTCAGCAGGGCCTGTCTGCGGGGACTTCTCCACTCTTGCCCTGAGTATGTGGTTGGATGGACAGCTCCTAAGTGAGGTGGTCAGAGCAGGCTTTTCTGCAGAGGTGCACTGAAAAGGAGCCAGACGTGCAGATATCTGAGTGATGGGAAGAGCAAGAGCAGAAGCCCAGAATACACTTGGCATGTTAGAGGACCGATGATAACAAAAAACCCCATTATGGCTGGAGCTGGTGCCCGAGGGAGAGAGTGTGGTGGGAGAGAAGGTGGAGGAGTAAGCAGAGGCCAGATCCTAAGAGGACCGAAAGGACATGGTACAGAACCTGAATGCTCTTCTAAATGCATCTGGGAGCCACTGGGAGGTTTCAGGCAAGGGGATCCTATGATTTAACTTAAGTTTTAAAAATCATTCTGGTTGCTATGAGTGCACTGGATCCAAAAAGGCCAATAATGGAAACAAGGAGATCTCAGGGAAGCTGCTAAAGGAAGGAAATGATGGTGACTTGGTCTCGGAAGGTAGCAGGAGAAATGGAGGTGGCGAGATTGGGGTGCATGTTAGAGGTGAGGTCAACAAGACTTGAGATTGGTTTGGAAGGTAGACTAGGGGCAGGAGAGGAATCCACAGTGACTCCTAGATTCAGTCTGAGAACGCAAGTGGTCAAAGCACCCTTGACTGAGAAGGCAGAGATTCTGGAAAATTTAAGACGTGCCTGATCCTACCAGCCAACAGAGCTTGCTTCTGTCCCCTGCACCTTTCCTACCCAGCTTCAATCACACTCAGCACCAACTCCTGGCAGCCTTCTACTGCTCAGAAGTGTGGCTCAAAGTTCACTGATTGCAAGATTTTCTTAGCACGGTGTTAATCTGCACCTTGGGCAACCACTGCCTACTGATGACACAGGATTACTAGGCTCTTGCTGTCTTTCTTACCCTCCCCTCTCCTTCCTGCTTTCCTCCCTCCCTCCCTCCCTCCCTCCCTTCCTCCCTCCCTCCTTCCTTCCATCCTCCCTCCCTTCCTCTCACCCTTTCTTTCTTTATTCTTGCATGCTTTCAATTATGTGTGCTGGCCCCTGCTTGGGACTGGAACAAGATGTGTGCCTAACGTGACAAAGCAAACCCTGGCAGCCCATTCAGTTGGATCTCTAAATTGTGATCACAGTGTAAAATGAACCCTCTCATCTCAGCTAGGAGAATAGCATGTCAATTTTGAAATGGAATGAATCCAGGGCAGATATCTCTCCAAAGGAACAAATGACGCCACAAAAGATGAGAAAGAATCCTGCCCCCAATTTACTGCCCAAATCTCTACCTTAAGTCATAAATTTACAGCATTGCTTAGGAGTGGTGAGCTGAGGACAGGCTCAAGATTTCTTGTGATAATCTCTCTCTATGAAGCCACTTTTCAAAAGATGAGGGCAATTTGCTCAGGGATAGGCAGAAAGATGTTTTTGTAGATATTGATTCTACTCTTATTTAAAAAAATAAAAACTTTCTAAAATATACTAATACTTTCCCTACCATTACCATGATATAATTAATACAAATCAAGCTGCTCTTGATGATTTAAAACATTATTGTGCCTTAGGGTCTTTCTGACTATGTGATCTTATTGTTTAGCACTAAAGACACAGATTTTGAAGATGATGGCAACTGAGTTAAAGAGATCTGAACCAAGATATGCACTAGAACCCACCCCCCTAATATCCTCCTAATCAATGTCTATTTAAGCCTGTTTCCTTCTGAATCGACTCCTTGGTAATAAAAAGCAGAATAAAAAAATGTCCAATTATGAGTTGAAAGGTATAATTAATCCTAATTATTAATATCTTGCTGTAAATAGGAATTAAGGAAGGCATAATATATACATCTTCCATTACTCCTCTTTCGTAGACATTCACAACTTTCCTACCTCCACCCATCCTTTCCTGGCCCCCAACCCTCCCAGTTGGGAGTGTGTGCCGCTCCAGTAACTCAGCTGCATCTGTCCTCTGTAAATCATCGCTCTATCCCTGCTATTACAGATATACATATACATTTGTTTAGATCCACTGCCTCCATGCCTGTGCCCTTTGAGGGAGAACATGCTACCTTTATAATCCCCAGGAACTCGGCAGAGTACCTTACACCAAGAAGATGCTCAGCACACCAGGAAAAAAAACTAGTAGAATAAACAGAATTAAACTGACTACATATCAAACTAGTAAGCAGGTTGAGGGAGGGAGAAGAAATGCAAGAGGAGCAGGAGAGAGTTGCAGACTGTATTTTAGCAATAGAATAAACTGGACCAATTTGGGAAGATATTCAGTACAGTAATAAATACATATAACTGAATTAATGAAATCGGATGAAAAAATAAATGACAGTGAATTTATTGAGGGTGGAGGAAGGAAAAGAAAAGGGAGTAGAAGAGGTTGACACGTTGCATTTTGGCAGCTGAATGAATTAGGCACTAATTCCTAATTCATCTTGGAGCTAGAAGACACCATATATAAATAAATAAACATATAAATAAAGACACTACTTTCATTTTAAATATATTTTCCCCCCCCAGAAAATAAATAGTTTTCTGAGAAGCTGATATGAGGATGAAAGCAACATTGATAAAAAGGTACCAGTTACTCTGCATACATGATCTTACTTAGTTTCCCAGTATGAAGCTGATATGGTTTCCCTCAGCTATGCAAAGAAAGAGGTAGCACAAAGGGCCACAACCTGCCAAGGTCATGCATCTACAGAACACAGCCCCCAGTCTGTCTGCAAAATGTCTCCACTGCGCTTTGTTCTCGCAGCTTCATTACAGGTATGCCCCTGGGCTGATCTCGTCTAGAGATGTGAGGAGGAACATGGTGAGGGCAGGGAAAGGACATGGGAGAAGCAGGAGAGTACAGTGAAATAATAAACAGAAAAATCTAATTTTGGGGATCAGTGAAAAGTAGGACCTGATTTCACCTTTTTTTTAAAATTTATTTCTAAGACAAGGGTCAAGCCCGAACCTAGTAATAGAGCCAAAAGAAGGTGAAAGTTTATATATGAGATGAAAGTGGAGGGTAAACAGATCATGTCTATGTGCCCCTGCAGCAGACACTTTGGGCCCTGCATCATGTCCCCTGCGCCAAGCTCAGATTTCAGCCATGGCAACAGTAGACCGTTGTTGGCCCACACAGAGCCCAACACTCCCCATCTCAAGCAGGGCCAACTCAAGTGAGGGGTGCCTTCATTGCCTGCATGCAAGAGCAACCAAGTAGTGGAAGGAAGGTGATGGGGCTATCAAAAAATGGGAGGGACAAAGCTAATAGATTAATTCCCCCAAATCTGCCATCAGAGTGGACAATTCTTGGAGGCATTCATTACAACACCCTCCCTCTCCCCCACATCCATTTGACTCACAGTAGAGGACTTAACAATGGATACTCCCATTGGTGTTTCTTCCTCCACTGCTCATCCTCTCTGCTCCTTCACTCCCACTTTTGGGGATCCTGCCCAAATAAACCACCTGACCCGAGTCCTTGTCTCAGGCTCTACTCTCAAGGGAAGTCAGACTAAGGTGACACACAGCGCTTGATCATTTCCTCCTTAGTAACTCAAACATTACAACAATCTTGTGAAGTAGGGACTATCAATGCTTATGATAAAATCCAGAAAGGTTAAGTGACTTTCCCAAGGGCACAGGCTATTAAATCATGAAACTGAATCAAGAATCCAGGCTTCACAGACGGAACTCCACAGATAGAGCTCTCCCCATTAACCTCTAGCTGCCTAAAGTCTATGAAGTGCAAAAAGAACAGAAAACAGTGGTCTCCTACCACCATTAAGGAGGGGCTATGGTTGCAAATTACCAAATACTGACCAAACTCTTGAGGTTTTGAGGAAGTGCATAGGTCCCTGAGGGAAATCACCAGGCTCTCCACCATGAGGATCCATAAGGCCCATGGAGGGTTTTTGAGAAGGTGAGATCACCATCACTCTTAATTAGTTTAGGTTTATTCAAGACAGAAAGTAAGAGATATGGTCTCCATACCCAGAGTCCCTTCAGGCTCTATGTTGCTAAATCATCACCAGATCTCATATGGGGAACTTTATTTTAGATAGAAAGATACAGTCACTAGTTTTTTTAAAAGTTTCCCGAGACAAAGAGCTCTGTGAAATGGCATTTCTGTATCAACCCCCATGTGTGCAGCACCTCCTTTCCACAATAGAAAGTACTAAATCTGAGGTAAGAATGGAAAAGGAGTGATATTTCTAGCCTATCTCCTAGGGATGATAATTACAAGGTCTTTCGGCTTATGAGACTGATGGCATTAGCTGGTCACCCACTGTGAACAGACGCAGTTGCCACACAGGATGGCCCTGTCACCTGGGTGCACCCTTTTATCCTCTTAACATCTGCTTTGTGCAACTGGGGGATCCAGGAAGCTAGATTAGCAGAACAATCACTCTATTCTGGCCCTAGTTCACTAAGATGATGATCCTTCTCCCTCTTAAAATAATATGTATGAAGGTTTGAAAATATGAGAAATTATAGCTCTCCATCTCACTAGAAATATCATCTTTTTATGGTACCCACTAAAATAAAACTTGCAAGACAAGCACATAGAGGAAAAAATTAAAACCAGAGCGTTAATAAAAATAGATCAAGGATATTTTAATTCAAATGTATTTGTCTCTCTTGAAGTAAGACTTAAAGGCAACTGGTTCCTCAACAAGCGTGGCCTTGGGCAAGGCATGCAAGTGGCTACCTTGGCAAATGTGACTGATTTCCATGTGCTGTCTTTACAACTTTGTGCAACGGTTTGGATACAGCAGGGAAGTGAACTTCAGACTGCTGACTGTTCTATCCATGCACCCTGAAGTCCTGATTAAGCTGAGGGCATCAAGCAGAAGGAACTGTTCCTATTAAACAGGGTGAAATCACCACCCCTCTTCCAGGTTGTATAAAGGAAGATGAGTTTAACTGAAAAGTCCTGTACCTACTACAAATGCATTGTGGAAATTTCTGAGGGTGCAAAGATGAAAAAGACACAAGGAGCTCACAGTCTGCTGGAAGTGTTGCACAAATAAAAACTAATTGGGTGGCAGAAAGGGGTACAGAAATATGCGCTGGATACCCTGCTAATGGGGTACCTGGTCTATCTGGAAGTCTGAGTCATTAATTAATCTTTTGCTTACCATTTTCATGCAGGACTACATAGATCCTATGAGGCAGGGACCAATACCTTCATTTCTGTGCCCTTCACAACTCCAAATACCCCTGTCCTTGGTATGCAAAGTGAATTCTCAAAGTTGAAGAGCAAACGAATATGTTTCTTATTCTTTTCTACTTGCATTAGACTTTGCTAATAACAGCAAATATGCATATTTTACTTAACAGCCAGCAGCCACTGGACACCATTTTGAGTGCTTTACCTATATTAATTAATTTTATACTCACATCAATCCCATAATGTTGTCATGATTATAGTACATGTTGACAAAATACGCTGTCCCTTCCTATCAGCCTTTTCCTAATAGGTCCATTCTTCCTGGAGAATTAGATTTCCTGTCCCATTATGTCAGGCACTTTGTGTGACTTGCTTCATTGCCAAAGAAATATGAGCAGAAGTGGTATGGGCCACTTGGGAGGTTTAAGAGCCATTACATGGCTCTGCCACCTCTCTCTTCTCTTTGCTACAGATCTAAGAGGCGACAGATGAGGGCTGTTTCTTCAGCCAGGGTCCAGAAAAGAAGAAAGCATGAAGCAGAGCTTCAGCAGAACCATGATGAACATTAATATGAGTGAAAAGGAAAGCTCTGTTCTTTAAAATCACTAAGATTGCAGGGAGGCATTTGTTACTGAGCAGGCTGACAGATACATAGGTCCTGTTAATATCCATACTTTACCCTTCAGAAAATGGAGGCAGAAAAAGGTTCAATTTTTCAAGGTCACATAATAAGTAATTTCTGGGACTTGAATCTGGACAGTCTGGTTCCATCTGGGCCTTAACTACTACACTATACAGGCTCTATTGGATAAGGGATGAACCAAAGTTGGCTAGGAAATACAAAGATAAAACCTCACAGTGAAATACTCTACACATGTGCAACACACACACACACACACACACACACACACACTATATATATATATATATATATATCTATTAAGCCAATGAATTAGCTAAATGCAATGACCATGCCTTTAATTTCCAGGTGGACAGAAGACAAAAGCAAAGAAGAAAAAGAAGGCAAAATAAAATGGGAGAAGAAAGAAACATATAGAGAAAATGACAGGGGGAAAAACAGATTTAAAAAATCTCAGTATCTGTCAAATTGCTCAAGGCAAATCTCTCTCTTAGCAAAATAAAACTCAAGATTTCTATCTTTAAAATGCTGCCAGAACATAGAACAAATAAAAGTGTTTAGAAGCATGTATTTTGAACATTATCTGGGTTTTTCCACTTTAATAAAATGAACTCTTCTGTTTGTGAATGAGATAGAGTGGTAAGTGGCACATCTCACCCAGGGAGATGCCACTCATATGCATCCAACAGTCCTGTCATTTTAACTTTCAGATGTTTCAGAGCTGCTAAGGAGTAATTGAGGCCCATGGTTCCCACATTTTAAACCTGATAAAAAAGCATCTGTGGATAACGCTAAGAATTCTGATTCCAGAACTCCAGACTTTGTGTCTTTGGCCAACTTTTCCTTCTTTCCTCAATGTTGTTTTGTATTTTGATTTTTTCCAGGTTATGCCCTATGCTTCTCTAATCTTTCCAAACCTCTCTCCTCCAGTATCTCTCTTCAGGTCATCCCCCTCCAGTTCCTCAACCATGAAGCTGGCAGTCATCCTGGACTCTCCCTTCTCTTTCACTTCCTGCATCCAAACCACAGCTGGGGCAGGCAGTCCAGTCCCCTAGGTGAGGCCTGGATCTGGAGACAGCAGGCCTTGGGGTCCTCATCCTATATCACAGAGTAAAAACCCCTGAGACTCAGAGGGTTTGAAGCAATGCAAATGAGGGCATTTAAGGTGAAAGTGACAGAAACCAGATCCAAACCCTTATGGCTGTGACCCCAAAGCAATGTTTTACCCATACACCTCAACTTTTCCATGAGCCAAATATTTGTATTAGTTAGCACATCAGCACTTGAGATGAATACCAGTAGCTAATAAAATAATATTGTTTATAGATCATTTAGAGTTAGTTATGATTTTTAAATAGTATACCCTTATCAATAATTGTTTTGCAAAGAAGTGGTTTTAAAGACATTCTCTCAAGATATTCATTTTTGTTTCTTTTTATGCATTACTGGGAATTTTTTTCCCATTCTGATCTATTTGGCAGATTTTTAGGTACCAACCCCACTTGGAAAAAAGTTATTTCAAATGCATAATTCAGTAAGCTTATTATTTATTCTTTCCAAGCCTTTCATGTCTGGTATATGCGCAGGTCTGAATCACTCCTCATGGCCCACTTGGATGGTGACAGAGGCTCAGTGAGAAGACAGGGAGCGTTCAGAGTCAGAGACAGGGCTGCTGAAAATCACAGGAAAGCCTGGGAAAACCAGCAACAAGACTGTTGGAGGCTGGTGCTAAGCTAGCTGAGGAGGGAGGAGGAAATGGTGTCCTGAATTAGGAGGGACTGGGGAGAGCTTATGTAGTGGTTCCATGCTTAAAGGATGGAACTTTGTGGCCCTTGTCAACGTGGGGTGGGACTCAAGAGGACTCTGCCTCCAGAGCTGTATACACTATATGGCTCCTCACTGTACTGTCTACTCAGATAACCTTCTACCTCCAACCCAACATCAGTCCACTGTGGCTAGAAGACAACCGCATAGTTCCCTCCATTCTCTGACCCAGAAACAAGCTCTTTCAGAGAGCCTAAGACTCTAAATGAGGCTTCCCTTCCATACCCTTTCTTCTAATGGTGGATCTTCTAGAAAGCACAGCACTAAGAGAGCATCCTTGTCCATTTCAGAGGGTAACTGGATGGTTCCAGAGCTGGCACAGGGGTGCTGGGGCAAAGGGCTGCAGAAGACTACAAGGGACGATGGGGCATTAAATAACTGCTCTGCTTTATGTTAGGGCTTCATATTTAATTCTCACAATCCTGAGACGTTAGCATTGTAATCCCATTTTACAGATAATAAAAGTAAGAAACAGGGATGTTACATTATCTTGGCCAAGAGCAAATAGCTAGTAAGCAGAACCAAAGCCAGGACTATCTGAGGGTCAAGTGTCCATTCTTATACTAAATTGCCTTCTACATGGACGAGGAATGTGAGTTGTGGATAAAAGCAGACCTCTGCTGCTTCTGTAGGAGCAGGAGTGGAGATTTGGGGACAGCAATGAGGTAGAGGAACCAGAGATGCTTCTTTGAATGGATATTCAGGCTGGGTAAGAATGGGGATGTACAGTATGTAAGGCAGCAAGAAAATCCTACGGCATGCCATCGATAAGGATGAGTAAAGTTAAATCCCTGTGGGCCTTGGGTCGTGCTACTGGGGGAGGGGACACTTTTACATTGGGGTGTTTGTGCAGTGAGCTTACACTGACTGTGACCTGCCTGTAATATCTGTGGGAACTCAAGTTCCCCCCACTGGATTCCAGGTGGGTCACTCTCATCTCAATAAACTTTGTTTCCCATTGACTTTGAGATGTGCCCAGAGAGTGTGTCTATATTTTTCAGGTTCTAGTCCAAGGCTTAGACGAGGTAGTTACTTGACATGCATTTAATTAATGTATATAAATGCAGCTTATGGATCCTGAAATCCAAATGGTGAATCAACCAACATGCTCTAACATGGAAATGAGGAGAAAATGCAGTTATGTGCTTATTATATCTAATTATCCTGTTTGAAGCTACATATGCTTCTACTGATTCATAATCCTAGCTACCATTCATACAGTTTTGTGATTTAATCCAGCTCCTGTGGGATCAGTGGAAACACAAGTTCTAACATACAGCTTGGCACACGGCAGGTGCCCAACCGATTAGTTATATTTGTTATTACTCATTTACAAAAACATATTTAAGTGATTTTTAAAAATCAAGTAATAGGAAGAAATGGCATTTTAAAAAAAAGTTCAAAGGAAGAAATGAGGGGGAAGAAAGTCCCATAGGAACTACATTTTTAAATGACAAGTATAAAAATCCTCTTTAAGAACAAATAGCCACCTAATGGTTGCACAACGTTTGTTATTAAATATTCATTACCTCAATAACCCATCAAATACTGCTCATTTGTAACATGGTAGGGTTTGGCTAGTGGCTAGGGATAAAAGGAGAAATATATTAAGGTCCCTAGATCAAAGTTAGAGTCTACTAGAGGAGACAGTCACGTAGAAAATTAAATACAATGTTTTAAGTGCTCTAACACTTGGGTGAACCCTTTATACTATACCTTAGGGACACAATGAAAGGGAGAAGGTGTGTGTGAGAGGGTATGGGTGCATGTGCGCCCATGCACAAGCATACGCATGTGCCTTTTGGTCTGGGTTTGGGGTCAGAAATATAGTGGCATTCAAGTAAGACTGCCTAGAGAAAGCAAAGCTTATGCTTCCTAAAGTATGAGCAGGAACTAGTGCTTCAGGTAGATCAGAGATGGAAGAATATTCTGTACCATGTGCAGAGTTGAGAGAGACTGGCAAGTTCAGGGAATGGTGAGCAGTTCCATATGGTAGGCAAGTATAGAGCATTTTTATAAGAGGTAGGAAATGAGGCCAAAGAGGTAGCCAGGAGCAGATTTTTAAGGACCTCTGTTGCAATAACATGCAAAATAAAATAACACTTTATATTTTATCTTCTAGACCAAAAAGAGCTCTTGAATATCTTAAATGGGCTGCGATACACATTTGCTCTATTATTTAGATTACTCAATTTCGCTATAGATAACAAAACAAATGGGGTTAATAAAACTCATGGAAGTGTTAAATATAGAGAGCAAATGGGTAACTTCTGAGACCTGTTAGAGAGAAAATAATCAGAGCATAGGTATTTTATTATTTTTTATTTTTATTTATTTATTTGAGAGAGAGAACAAGCAGGGGGAGAGGGGCAGAGGGAGAAGGAAAAGCAGACTCCCCACTGAGCAGGGAGCCCAATTTGGGCCTCGATCCCAGGACTCTGGTGTCATGACATGAGACAAAGGCAGACGCCTAACTGACTGAGCCATCCAGGCGCCACCAGAGCCTAAGTATTTTAAACAAAGATAAAAAGGATGGAACAAAGAAGGTCCTTGCCCATAGAATATGATTGGATATACCTAATAAACCTTAAGTATTTATGAATCTCAGACCATGTCTGATTGACAGCTGTCAACCCTAACTTGGTTAACTCATTAGTGACACTCATTATGGATCTATTCTGGCTTGAGACACACAGGTAAAGCAGATTGACCAGATGGTCATCAAGCTAACTGGTGAGCTATAGCTGTGGCCAGATCCACTTGCCCTTGTGTTTCTCTAGTAGGGCAAGTGTGTGATGGCCCAGAGGCCTCCCAGCTGCTTAGGACCTCTCAACTGTAGCCCATAGTCCTTGTAGCCACCCCATCAGCAGGAAAAGCTGATACCGCAGAGAGAGAACACAGATATATAAACATCGTGTAACAAGGATTCAGATAGAGTAGTTTTTCCACCCCACTTGCACACTATCAGTCATCTGCCTGATCTCTTTCCCCTTGCTTCTTGTTGTGTGCATTAATTTAATGGCCCACATAATTATACGTCTTAATTTAGTCTATGACCCTTTCTGTTCCATGACCTCTAGAGCAGCATGCCTGAGTGTACTTGGAATGTCAAG